CATGTAAAATCTCAATTAAATATTCAATAAAGATAGAGGCATGGCCTCACCATTAATATTAAAAAAAAAAAAAATAATAATAGTAAATAAGTATTTATGTTCTTATTTATAAACTTGCTTTGCTGTTTTTAATTCTAATGATTAATAAATGTTTTTTATACTTATTACTAAATTAATACAAATAAAATAATTTGAAGGATATACCAAGAATGAATATAATTAGTACCAGAAACAAATATAATAAGTACTAGGAACAAATATAATAAGTATATGGATTATATGCTGTTTGAAGTGAGATTTGATTTATTCATCAAATTTTGGTTATTTTTTATATATAAATTTATTATGCATATAGATTAATAGATATATACATGCAGTTTAATATGTAATTACAAAGTATAATTTAAATACAAAAAATGTGAAAGTAAGTGATATTATAGTTATAATAACTAATAATTGTAAAAACAAAAATTTTAGACTTAAAAATTAGTAACCTAATACAGGTTAACTTGTCTATTTACCTAATATTAATGATTATTAAAGTAATAGCAAAATAATTAAATAATCTAATAATTTAATAATTTATTATATAATGCTTTGTAAACTTCTGTTTGTTATCTAATACCTAGTAGTATATATTAAATGCTTTACAATATATTAATAAGTTGCTAAATTGGTTTTTGTTTGTATATTGCTTGGACTATTTGTTAACAAATATATTTGCTTTTATTTCTGATTTTTAGTACACAGCTACCTTATTTTTAATTAAAAGTAGCAAATTTATATAGGTTCATAATAATATGTATATGAGCAAATATATTTTCAATTTTTAATAATTAAACACAATAAGCACTTTTTTAGCTTGATCAAATTAAAGAAGTTTAGTAAAAATTTTTTTTTATATATTAGGATTAATACTATTCTTAGCTGTTAATAAATACTTATATTTATAATTTGCAATTTTATTATTATATTCAGTAAATATATAAAAAAATATTATATTCATCTCTTGTATTTATTTTCTTAATATTATTTTGAAGTTTACAACAATCTTGTTTTTTGTTAATTCATTATTTTAATAACTTAACTGTCTCTATAAGTGCCATAAAAGCTAGTTTTTTAGCATTATTCTCACAGCTATTTGTTTAAATATATAAACTTTTTTACATTTTTATACTTTAATATAATAGGTTGCTAATTAGTTGGCTTAATAAAGTCTTGTTTTAAAATTTTTATCAGAAATAAGTATATTCCAGAAACAAATATAATAAGTAGTTATTATTTTAATCTAAATATAGAATTAACTCACAAAAGAATTTTACAAGAAGAATCAGATTGTCTTAAAGTATATTTGATATTATGAAGACTTACATATAGTTATTTCTAAGCATCTTTAAAAATTAGATCTTATTGAGTAAACTTAAGTTTTTAAATGCTTTTATAATATGATGTTCTTTGCAAATAACTTTTTGTTTTATTTTTTCAATGTTTATATATAATAATAATTACATATTTTTAATTAAATGCTATAGCCATATCAGCAAATAGTTTTAGATGCTTGTGATTAAGAATAAGTACTAGTAGTTGTAGATGTTACTGTAGTTGCTTGTGCAGGTTCTACTATCAAAGAATCCACTTCTATATATAAAGCTTTGATATCAAATACATTGCTTATTAATTCTTTATAGGTCAATTGAGTATATAAAAATGTTTTAAGATCAACTAATCTAAGTGTTTTTCTCATTTTTCTTGAAAAAAACTGCAAAAAAGAAAATTATAATAGTTAAATATAAAAATTTAGAAAACTAAAAGATAAATTAAATAATTGTTAACCTTTTTTTTCTTTTAGAACCACTATAGAACTCAATTTGACAAATTTGTTAATATGAATACCTTGTATATTTTTTATATTTTTTTAAAAAACTTGTAAAAGTCTAATAGCTATTTGAGTTAGATTGGATGTTCAGTTTAGAAGATTTTACAAAATATTTCAACTAGAAGTTAAAAAAAATTAATTAAAAAAAATACAGAGAAAAAATTAGTTACTCAATGAATTAGGAATTTTTTATATAAAGCCATTGCAATTATAATATTATTATCTATTTTTAATAGGTTTTATAAAGATTATTCCTATATATTATACAAATTATTATTTATTTATATTAAAATATAGAATCAAATTTTTATTCTAATAACTTTAAAAAAGAGAATTAGTACAGACTTTAATACATTCTCAATATTTGAAAAAAGAAGATTGTGCCTATTTTTTTTTATGCACTTTGTTTGAAAACTAATATGTTGTAATTAAGCAATATTTATGATATCTACAAAATCAGTAATACTTTTTTATAATAGTTCTTATGAGTAGAGTTAGTATTCTCTTTAATGTCAATCTTGTGCTCATTTCCTTATAGATTTATTATCAGTTTATATAATATATTTGTACCAAACACTAATCAAATCAAAATTAACTTAAAAAATAAATTTATATGCCTTTTTAGTTGTTATAATTCTGACTAGAAAGACTTTTGTCATTGTCAGCATCCAAATGACTTTTTTTACTATAAATAATTGTTAATTATCTTGGTAAATATAATTTACAAGGAATATAGTATATATTTAACATTAGGCATTTTTGAAAACAGATCAATTAGATGCACATCGATAGTTCATTCTATATTAGTCATCATGTTATATATATGTACATAATTATAACTACAATAATAATATTTATAGCATAATAAAAAAAATGCTAACAAGTAAAATTAAAGATTATGATTAAAAACTTACAAGGTATCTATTTATTAAACAGATCTTTTGATTTTCTTGTATCTATTATAAAGTATTGCTGAGTTGTCATATTTTCACACTCTTTTTCATTTTTTTAATTTTTTTTTCTTTTTTAGATTTTTTTGATAAATATATATTTTATTAATAGTATTATTTAAATAGATCAGTTGATAAAAATAGATCAAAAACTATATATAATTATTTAGATGAGATTTATTTTTTTTTTATTTTTTATTTTTTAATATTAAATAATGCTCAAGTAGAAACTTTATTACATATAGTAATATAAGTTTTAAATTTAAAGATTTCTAAACTATATTTATGCTACAATTAGGTATCCAATATAATATTACATCTTCTATTTCCTATATTATGCTATAGCTAACTATTTCAAATTAGGTTCTAGCTAGGATAGGTTGGAGGAAAATGGAATTTATTAAATGATCAAAAATAATCAGTTATACGTATATATATTTCAATATATAAAATATAAATGTTTTTTTATAATTAAGTTTTCTTTTCTTCTATAAGAAAAAAAATAAAAATAGTGCATTTTTAATCTACTAGATAACATTAAATGTAACTCTGAGGATGTGGCAACCTAGTGAAGTAGATAG